GCAGTCTGTTAACCCAAAGGATACATCACTATACTGGGATAAAAAGGAGAATCACATTTCCCCATAATCTCCATTCTCATGAGGAAGAGTTTCACATTTCTCCAGGGATTAAGGAATTCATTCCTTTACTCTGTACCAAGAAATTACCTTGTTTAACTAACTTAACACGGAGACTGGACCTAGATAGAAGATCCCTTGGCTGGACTACAAATTAAAATGATCTAAGCCAGGATTGCCGTGGCGTCCTCCCAGAGTAAGCTATCAATCAATTTAAGTCCATACCTGACTCAATGAGCCATCATGCTTGGCAGGACTTACCTCACAGAAACTACCGGTATCAGTAGGGACAGCGAAGGGCACCTGACACACCCCAGCTAAGTTGTTAGTAGTTTGACTACTAACTCTGTAAAAGTTCCAGGGCACACCATAACCACTACAGTAGGCTGCAGCGATTATGGTGCTTGGAATGTTTCTTTACTGAGAATCTTCTCCTATATATATATATATATATATATTTATAGATAGATAGATGGATAGATAGATTTCATTCTACCAGATTTTAATATGCACAAAGTTTCAGCAGACTATTTCTGCCTTGGTGGTCACTACAAATGCAGCAATATTATAGAAACTGACGATAATATGTCTGTATGTATAGCACTTTAACGTAATTTAATGTAACATTTCTTATTTGTTTCTGCATTGTAGCATTTTCTATATACTGTGGTGTATATATATATATATGTACTGGCATTGTATGATGATGGCACTATGGTCCCTCTTATTGCTGTATAGGTGAGCGACTCAATGCTAATTACACAAGCTTTTACCTTACATATTATTGTAATCAATTACATTAAGAAGCAATTGGGATGTCAGAGACCTGAATGGGGAAAGAGTGCATAGTCTTCCGTAGAAAAATATTCAGATTATTTTTGTTTCTTTTTACATGTAAACCAGCTGTAACTAAAATGCATGCTTATTGTCTGTATATACCAAGAGTAAGCCTACTGTCAATAGAAGACTGCTCTAATAAAATCATAATAAACAGAACTACTATTACAATTAAAGGGACAGTCAGGTCATAACGGGGGTGAAGCTAAATTATAAAGTGGAAAATGCTCTTACAGAGATTCTTGCCATAGAGAGATGGGTATAGAATGCCTGGTAGTGGAACGTTTGTTTAAAATACATTCCATACGCTATACAGACTCCCTCAGGTGCACTTTCCCTAAATCACTAAGACATATCATGGAACTTCTGTTAACAGGGCACTCTAAACACCATAACCACTACA